TGCTTCGCCGCGGCCTCCTTCTGCCGCTGGTCCGCGAGCTTGGCGGTTAGGCGGTCCACGCGCGACTCGCCCGGCGCGGGCTTGGACCGCTCCTCGTCGTCGCCGGCGCCGCCGCCCTCGTCCTTGCGCTTCGCGTCGTCGAGGGTGTTCGCCAACGACTTGCGGAAGTTCACGGTCAGCGCCGCGAAGCGCCGCGCGTGGGCCGCGCGCCGCCGCGCCTTCTTCGTGCGGCCGAAGCCGAAGTTCGCCGGGCCCTTGGCCCCGGGGACCTTGGGCGCGCGCGCGGGCGCGGCCAACGCGAACGCGCGCGCGACCTCGGCCCGCGACCGGTAGCGCCGGCCCAGGGGGTCGAAGTAGTAGACGTCGTAGGTGCCCGCCGTGTTGCCCTCCTTGCGCACCTCGACGGTCGCCGTCCAGCCGTCGATCAAGTCCGCGGAGCCGCCGCAGGCCTCGACGTAGCGGGCCAGCGCGGCGACGCACGTGTCGCTCGCCTGGTTCGAGTTCAGCCCCTTGAGGTTCGCCCGGTCGATCTGCACGGGCGCCGGCCGGCCCGCCGACGCCCAGCGCGCCGCCGCGCGCAGCGCGTCGAGGCGGATGAGCGCGGACGTCGCGGGCAAATACGGCGGCGGCACGTCGGGCGGCGGCAGCGGGCTGCAGGGCCGGTCCGTGCCGTCGTAGTAGAGCTGCGCCGGCGGCGTCGGCGGCAGCGCCGGCGGCGGCGGCGCGCCGGGGGTCGGGGGGAGGAGCGGCGCCGCGGCCGCGGCCGGCGGCGGCGGCGCCGGCGCCGCGGGCGCGTCGACGTCGTCGCGGACCTGCCACGGGTGGCCCCGCAGGCGCTGGCCGTCGACCTTGAGGCGCACGGCGAAGAGCTTCGCCGGCGCCGGCGCCGGCGCCGCCGGCGCGGCGCCGCCGAGGGCCGCGAGCGAGAAGCCCTGCGCCTCGCCCTGTTCGAACGGCGACCAACGGCCCTCGTCGTCGTCGCCGTCGCTCGACGGCGGCGCCGCGGGCCGGAAGGTCGCGCCGGCGAGGAGCGCCGGGTTGAAGGGGTACTGGCCGATGGCGGCGGCGGGCACGGGCCGCGCGGCCGGCCGCGGCGCGATCGGGATCGGCGCGGCGGGCGCGGCGGCGGCCGCGTAGTAGTGGGGGGGCATCTGGAGCATGCCCGCGCTCAGCTGCATGGGCGGGAGGAAGCCCCGCGGCGGCTGCTGGCCCTGGAAGACGAACATCTGCTGCTGGAGCTGGAGCAGCTGCTGGGGCGGCAGGCCGCGGGGCCAGCCCGCGGGCACCTGGACCGGCGCGCCCCGACCCACCCCCGGGACCCCCTGAGGGTACTGGGGAGGTCCCCGGCCGTTCTGACCCCACCCGGGGTACATGGCGTCGTCGTCAAGTCAGTTTGCAGACTTAATTGCGAAGAGGCGAGTTGAGCCCGATCGGGACGCTTTGACGACTTGCTCGGTGTTTGGGCCTGAGTCTCGCGCCTCTGCTTCAACAATCGAGTTCCCAAGACGTTGAAGCCAGATACTGACGCGTTTGACGGTGCTCGATCGGCCGCAAAGTGTCCAAAGTCATCTCGGATGCGTTGGAGATCCGTTGCGGGGGCCCGGGGGGTCGCGAGATCATTTTTGGAGCGCACGCAGCCCCGCGCTCTCGCGAAACCGCGCGCGCGCGCGGCGAAACCGCCGTGGGGTCTGCGGCTCGTGCGGGATGACCCGTGATTGCTAGCGAGCACGGCGCTGGTGTTCGGGGCGGGGAGACAGCTGCGGGATCGCTCGCCCGACGAGCGCTGGCGACCCGCGCCGCGCGCCAACATGAGTTCAAACAGCTTGTCGTGATCTTAGCGATTGACAGACCGCCGCAGCGTGCTGTCAAGCGCGGTTGACCGCCCTGCGCCGACCCCGACACCCGGCACCACTCCAGCGCGCTCTCCCCCGCACCACCGCGACCGCACACAACCGCAACCATGCCCCTCGGCGGCAAGGCCATCAAGAAGCGCCAGCAGGCCGCCGACGCCAAGGAGGGCATCGTGAGGGACGAGATGGTGCTGCGCAAGCAGGCGACGGCGAAGGCCGACGTGGCCTGCAAGCTCTGCGCGACGTCCTTCAAGCTCACGAAGAAGAACGTCGACGCGCGGACGCACGCCGCGTCGAAACATCCGGAGTCGACGTTCGAGGCGTGCTTCCCCGTCTGCGTCGCGCACGAGGCCGAGCTCGCCAAGAACGGCGCGGGCGACAGCGGCAACAACGCCAAGGGCGGCGTCGGCAAGACCGGGGGCAAGAAGAAGGACAAGGGCGAGGACCTCAGCGCGCTCCTCGACGCCGGCCTCGCGGGCGTCGGCTCCAAGCCCAAGAAGGGCGGGAAGAAGTAAATTGGAAACGAGTTATTCGGCGCAGTCGCCGGCGTCGCACGTCGCTTCGTCCTCCCCGCGGAAGAAGCTCCGGAGCGCCGCGCGGTAGGACCGGGGCTTCTCCGCCGCGCGCGCGATGAGGCTCTTGGCCTCGTCGAGGTGGAGCGCGTCCTTGGCGAAGCGCGTCGCGTTCTCCAGGAGGCCCGTGTCGTTGAAGAGGAGCGACGCCAGGGCGAGGTCCGGCAACAGCTCGAGGAGGTGCGCGCGCGAGAACGACTCGGGGATGAGGCTCGCCGCGCGGCCCTTGTTCTCCCGGAGGAGCGCGAGGAAGGACGACCGCGAGACGCCGTCGGGCAGCGTCGGCCGGAAGGCCTTGGACGCGGCGTAGCGCGCCATGAGCGCGTCCACGGACTGCTTCAGCTCCTCGCGCGAGAACGCGCCCTCGTCCCACTGCGGGCTCCGCTCGTAGTCGCCGATGACGGACCCGCCCCCGGCGGAGAAGTCGATGGACGGCAGGATGTAGAGGTAGACGCAGAACCAGTGCGTCGCCGCCGCGGCCATGACGAAGATGTGCCAGACGACGTGCCAGCCAGGGTGCCGCATGCCGCGGACGAAGAAGAAGATGCCCGCGATGTAGAGCGCGCCGCCGAGCGCCAGCAGGAAGAAGGCCTCGGGCGCCAAGAGCCGCTTCACGGGGCCGATGATCGGCAGCACCGCCGCGCCCATGGACGCGTAGATGATGATCTCCGTCGGGTTCAGGTGCTCCGACGAGATGCCGATGCCCGCGGCCGAGATGCAGCAGCCGCAGAACGCCGCGATCCAGTTGATGACGACGATGGCCGCGGCGCCGAGGTGGCCCCGGCAGCCCAGGAAGACGAGGGGCGTGTAGCTCCCCGCGATGAGCAGGTAGATCGCCGCGTGGTCGAAGCGCTGGAACCAGAGCATGATGCGCGGGTGCATGAAGAAGCCGTGGTACGCCGTCGACGAGCCGAAGCAGCAGAGCAGCGTGAACTGGTAGAGGAGGCAGGCCCAGTACGTCGTGCGGTCGCGGTGCCACGCGTCGTACAGGAGCGGGATCGCGCCGATGAGCGCGGCGATGAAGCCCATGCCGTGCGTCAGGGCGTTGAGGATCTCCTCCGTCGTGTAGTTGCCGACGGCGTCGATCTTGACGCCGTGCTTACTGAGGACCGTCGCGAGCTTGTGGCTGCTCGAGTAGTAGAGCCCGTTGTTCGAGACGTCGAGGCGCTGCAGGCCGCAGCTGCAGCGCCACTTGCCCGCGCCGAGGTGCTTCGTGAGCGCCGCCGTGCCCGCGTCGCCGAAGGCGTTGGACCCGAGCTTGGCCGTCTTGATGGTCGCGGACGAGCCGAGCGCGGCCGCGAGCTCTGTTATGGCGAGGTCGTCCAAGCCGCAGGCGCTCACGTCCAACGTCGTCACCGACGTGTTCCGCCGCAGGGCCTGGGCCAGGGCCCGCGCGTCGGCGGCGTGCGACGCCGCCGTCGAGTTGTTCGGGTCCGACCGGAGCGTCAGCGACGTGATCGTCTTCGACTCGGCCAAGACGTCGAGGAGCGGCAGCAGGCCCCCGTCCCCAAAGTAGGTCTTGGGCGCCAGGAACCACCAGCGCGTCGACAGCGTCGTGAGCACCGACGGGTCCGGCTGGACGGACAGCTCGGCGCAGCGCCGCAGGTACTCCCGCTCCTCGTTCGTCAGCGGCGGCGAATTGGTGAGGCGCGCGGGCGGCGGCGGCGGCGAACTGTCGTCGCCGCGGGGCACGGGCAGGCACCGCAGCTCCGGCGACGACGACGAGCCCGCCTTCTTTTTCGTCGCCATGGGGTCACGTGCAGAGCGACGACGAGGACAGACGACACCACTGTGACGAGGGTTGTGTGAATCTCCGTCGACGTCAAGGCACCACAAACCATGCCGTGCTTCGTTGCCGTAGCAGGCCGCCGTCGATAACAAGAAGCATCCAATGGCTGAGGCTGCGGTGAAGCGGGCTGCCCGTGCCCTCCTCCTGGCAATCGCGGCCCACGCGGGCACGGAGGAGCTCATCTGCAGCGACCCGCGCGCCGTCGCCGGCGGCTTCTTCCTCGGCCAGTACGTCGCGGCCAACGAGGCGACGCCGTCCCTGACCATCACGGCCAACGCGACGCAGTATAGATACGGCGAGACGGTGAAGATCGACATCGACGCCGTCGGCGACAGGTACAAGACGGGCAACTGGCTCGCCATCCAGGTCGACTTCACGGGCCCCGACGGCGAGGCCATGGGCCTCGTGCACGAGCACACGAAGGACCTGAAAATGGTACCGAACTGCGCGTCGTCGCTCTACAGCGCCGCGGAGTTCAATGGCCACGCGTCCTTCCTCTGGACGCCGTCGACGCACAAATTCGAGATGGGCTCCCTCGACACCACGGGCAACGCGACGTTTCGCGCCATCTGGACGAACGCGCCGGACGGGGCAGCAAAAGGGTGATTCAACGTCGCTTCAACGTGAGTGTTCCGCGCGCGCACGTTTCGGAAAGAGCACCCACGCTTCGAGAGCGCTCCGAGAGATGATCGCTCGTCCCAAAATCAGCGGAAACGAGCGGAAAATGACCGAGAGAGGAGCCTCCACAAAGTTGGGAATTTCGCACCCTTTTCCTGCCCAGGCGCCGGACAAGTCCAAGTCCTACGCGGACCCCTACCTCTACATGAAGACGGTCACGCTCTGGGACCCGACGAAGTGGAATCCGTCGACAAAGGCCGCCGCGCCGCCGAAGCCGCCCGGCGACGCCCGGGCCTGCGTCGACGACACGCCGTCGCTGAACGGCGCGAAGCAGGGCAGCAAAAGAAAGCGAAATTCCCAACTTCAAAGGCTCATATCTCGGCCGTTTTCCACTCGTTTTGGCTGATTTTTGGACGAGCGATCATCTCTCGGAACGGTCTCGAAGCGTTGATGCTTTCTTTGGAACGCGCACGCGCGGAACACTCACGTTGAAGCGACGTTGAATCTCCCTTTTGCTGCCCAGGCGCGAAGCACCACTACCGGCGGTCGCCCGTCTTCCTACAGCGGGCCGGCGACCGCGTGCTCACCTTCCCCAACGACCGCTGCGTCAAGTGCCACGCGTCCTTCGGCGACTCGTGCCTGTCGGCGCAGGTCTCGTGCCCGACGGCGCCGGGGCTGCCCATCGTCGAGCGGCTGTGGGCGCGGTCGAAGAACTGCGAGGGCGCGCCGACGCGCGTGGCGACGGTCGCGCCCGGCGACTACGTCTGCCCCGGCGCGTCCTGGTGGGACCCGGAGCACCTCGACCTGGACCGGTTCGTGCCCAAGATGCTCCGCGACTTCCCGCACGTCTTCGGGAAAGAGGGCGAGGAGGCGCACGCGAAGGCCGCGGTGGACGCCTACCGGTCCATGCTGCGGCTCGTGCAGCTCCAGCCGGAGCTGCCCGTCGTTCCCTCGAAGCAGGTCGACGCCGCCTGGCACTCCCACATCTTGGACACGGAGGCGTACGCGCGGGACACGCTGCGGCTCTTCGGCACGTACCTCCACCACGCGCCGTCCTTCGGCGGCGCCGAGGAGCAGCGGGAGCTCGTGGCGCAGCGCGACGCCATGTTCCGCCGGCTCGAGGAGGCGACGGGGCGGGACCCGCGGAAGGACCGCGCGTGGACCGCGGGGGGCGGCCTCGCGGAGTGGCCCGACTTCGCGGACCAGAAGTCGCCGGACTGCTGCAGCGCCATGTGCGTCAAGGCCGACTGCGCGGGCTGCGTCGGCTGCAACGCCATCGACTGCGGCTTCCTGGGGGACGCGAACGGCAACTCGCCCGGCGCGAGGATCCAGCAGCTCTCGCCCTCGCAGCTCGCGGGCTACGTGCCCGCGTCGGCCGAGCTCCTCGGCGCCTACGACGCGAACGCCCCGGCCTCCTACAAATGTGCTTCAGCCCCCCACGCGTCCATGGAGCTCCAGTGGACCATCGTCGGCGACGAGATCTACTTCAAGCACGACTTCAAGAAGGAGGCGTGGTACGGCGTCGGCCTCGCGAACACGTCGACGCACGACATGGGCGACGGCGTCGACTACATGGTCACCATGGTCAAGGGCGGCAACTACACGGACTACGTCCGCGACATGTACAAGTGGGACGCGGGCAACGGCTGGCCGTGCTGGGACGTGCTCTGGGAGTGCTCCCCGGGCAACGGCACGCAGGGCACGCCCGACTTCAAGGACGTCCAGGTCGACCGGGAAAACGGCTACGCGTCGTCGTCCTGGAACCGCAAGCTCGCCACGGGCGACGGCAAGGACTGGGTCATCGCGGACGAGTTCACGCGCGTGCTCTACGCGTTCGGCGTCGAGGACGACTTCACGTACCACGCCCAGAACTTCGGCGAGTGCGTCCTCAACTTCTTCTCCGGCGTGAGCCAGTACTGCTGGTGGGCCTGAGGGAGGGTCGCGGGTGCGGGTGTATATACTTTTAGGACGAGGCGTAGGACGGCGTCAGCGCGACTTCAACTTCCTCTTCACCTTATGAAGCAGCTTTGGTGAAGTCTGTCATCGCCGCCGCGAATGGAGCAATTTAAAGAGGCCGAGTCGGCGTCCACCCTCGACGGCGCAGTCGCCTTAGAGCGGACCCACCCGCCGCCCGCGCGCCCCGCGGCGATGAGCGAGGACTTCCGCACGGCGGGCTCCCCGCTCTGCGGCGCGGCGCTCATCCGCACGATCCTCCACGCCGACGGGACCATCGCGTCGTCGTCGAACGCGACGGTCGTCGGCTGGCTCGACGCGTCCGAGTCGGAGTTCTTCAACGACCGCGACGAGCCCGCGGCGCTGTTCCGCATCCGCTACCTCGACGGCGAGCTCGCCGGCGACGAGGAGGATCTGGAGGAGCACGAGGTGCGGTCGTCGATTCCGCTCGCGGCGCGCGTCGGCGCGCTCGCGGACCCCTCCGGGGGCCCCGCGGGCGTCGCCGCCGTCGCCGCGAAGCGCGCGGCGCGCAAGCCCCCGCCGCCGAAGAAGCCCGCGAAGAAGCCCGCGAAGAAGAAGATGCGCGCGGCCGCGCCGCCGCCGCCGAAGCCCAAACGGCCCGCGCCGCCCGCGGACCACGCCGCGCTCGTGACCGTGCCGCGGCGCGCGGCGGCCCAGGCGGCCATGAACCGCGGCTTCTGCGAGGCGGCGCCGGGCTCGACGAAGTCGCGCGACGACGGCGCGCGCGTCGCGCTCGCGCGGCGCGCGCTGAGCGAGTTGTGCGTCGAGACGGGCGCGTCGCGCGCGAAGGCGCGCGACATCGCCAAGAAGTGCCGCGAGCTCGCCGGGCGCCTGAGCCGCGGCGACGTCCTCGGGTTGGACGCCGACGGCGACGACGACGACTACGACGAGGATTTGGAGGACGTGAATTTAAGCGCGGCGCTCGTGGAAGCGGCGCTCAAGCAGCTCGTCGACGACGGCGAGGTCTACGAGAGCGGGTCGGGCTACGCGCCGCGCCTCGCCGGCGACGACGGCGGCGCCTGGCAGAGCGACGCCTCCGGCGACGAGAAGCCCGCGGCCTTCGTGCCCAAGAAGCCGCCGGGCTACGACGCCGCGGTCGCGTCCGACGCGAAGCACGCGAGGCCCTACGCGCCCTGGCGGCCCCCGCGGCGCGGCGTGCGCTGCCTGCCGCCGGACAAGTCGCCGGAGAAGAAGCCGAAGCAGGCGGGCGACGAGGACGCCGACTCCCAGGCGGATTTGGAGAGCCAGGCGGTGTCGGAGGAGGACGCGGAGAAGGCCGCGATGATCGCGGACGCGTGCTTCACGGCGGCGTCGGCGGCCCTCGACGATCTGCGGGGCGACCTCAAGCAGCCGCGGTCCGCCTTCGCGCTCTTCAAGCACGACCACACGAAGGACGCCGTCGCGGCCACGATGGACGGCCACTCGCTCAACGACGATCCCGCGCCCGGCTGGTACCGCGAGCTCGTGCCGCGGCGGTCGGGCGACAAGGTCGACGCCTACTACTACCCGCCCGACGGCACGCAGTTGCGGAGCCGGCCCGACGTGCGGCGCTACTTCGAGGGGAACCCCGACGCCGTCAAGGTCGGCGACGTCGTGTTGGACACGTCCCAGTTCCAGTTCGCCTACTCCAAGTGCCCCGCCGAGGAGCTGCGCAAGTGCAAGCCTTTGAACCGCGGCGCCATCACGGCGGAGCTCCACCGCCGCTGGGAGGCGCTCGAGGCCTCGGAGCGCGACGGCTACGCGACGAAAGCCGTCGAAGAAAAAGCCCGCCTCGACGAGGAGCGCAAGCGCGCGGCCAAGACCGTGCGCGACCGCGCCGTCGAGGCCGCGGAGCAGCTCGGCGCGAGCCGCCGCGACGCGCGTTTGGCCGCGGCGCGCGCGGCGCGGTCGCTCTTCGTCGACTTGGACTGGTCGACCTTGGTCTCCGGCGACTCGCCGGTGAAGCGGCCCAAGATCGAGGCGCCCGCCGACGGCGACGACGGCGCGGCGCCCGTGATGACGCCCAAGTCGCCGGGGGCGCGGTCCATCATCGAGCAGCTCGAGAACGAGGCGCCGCCGCTGAATTTGGGCGCGACGGGCGCGGCCCGGCCGCGCCGCGCGGCGACGCAGGGCGTGCGCAAGTCCTACAAGGAGAAGCCGTCGACGGCGGCGGATGTTGTGGCTTGGGCCCTGGAGACGGGCGAGGACTCGGGCGCGAACCAGGAGGGCGAGCAGCGCGCGCTGGGGGTCGACTGGCCGGAGCTCTGCTCCGCGGTCGCGATCAACGAGCGCGCCAAGAAGCTCGACGCCAAGTGCACGGCCTTCAAGGACGCGCCCTACCGCGCGACGCGCGACGGCCTGGCGTCGCTGCTGCGCTCGGGCAAGGCGCGGCGCGCGTGGGCCGACCTGTCGGCCGACGTCGCCGCGGCGGACTTCGAGGATCCCGAAATCCCCGCGGTCGCGCGCCACGGCCGCGCGGAGGCGGGCCTGCGGGCCCTGGTGCTCGCGAAGCTCAGCCCGCCGGACCTGCGGGCGCCCCTCGACGGCCCGCCGGCCGCGGGCTGGCGCGACGACCACGACTGGGTCGGGCGGCCCGTCGTCCACGACGCCGCCGTGGGCCGCGTCGTCGCCTACGGCGGCGCCGACGGCCGCTGGCGCTGCGACTTCGACGACGACGGCGGCCGCGAGACGAACGCGGGGCGGTTCCTCTCCGCGCGGGAGTGCTTCAAGGGCGTGGCCGCCGCGGCGCCGTGCGTCGCGTTCCCGGAGTTGGACCGCGACCGTTTGATCCACGAGCTCGTCATGATCTACTGGCCCATGGACAAGCTCTTCTACGAGGGCGCCATCGTCGCCGCGAAGCAGCGCGACCGGCTGTTCGACGAGGCGCCGCCCGCGGGCGCGCACTCGCTGGCTTCGGAGCATTTGGTGCTCTACGACGACGGCTCGTCCGAGTGGCTCGACCTATCGACGGAGCGCGTGCGCTACGTCGAAGCCTCGAAAGCCGCCCGCGAGGCCGGCGACGCCATCCAGCAATTGGTCGCCGAGGACTACTTCCAGTGGTTCATCTCGCCCGTCGATTCCGAGGCGTTGGGTCTGGTCGACTACCACGAGGTCGTCAAGCAGCCCATGGACCTCGGCACCGTCGACGACCGCATCGCCCGGGGCTTCTACGACGACGCCTCGGACGACGACGAGGGCTTGACGCCGCGCCAGCGGGACGCGGCCGTCGCCAAGCGGCTCCGCCGCCGCGCCGCCGCGGACATCCGCCTCACGTTCACGAACGCCGTGCTCTTCGGGGCAGGACAAGAGAGCGAAATTCCAAACTTCAAAGCCTCATATCTCGGCCGTTTTCCACTCGTTTCGGCTGATTTTTGGACGAGCGATCATCTCTCGGAACGGTCTCGAAGCATGGATGCTTTTTCCGGAACGAGCGCGCGCGGAACACTCACGTTGAAGCGACGTTGAATCACCCTTGTCCTGCCCAGGTGCTCTTCAACGCGGACCCCAAGAACCCCTGCGCGTCCGCGGCGAAGAAGCTGCTGGCCCTCTTCGAGAAGTCGGCGCTCGCGCGGTCCGCGCGCGACCCGGACGCGGCGCCCGCGCCCGCGCCCGCGGCGGCGGCCGCGGCCAAGGGCCCCGCGCCGAAGCGGCCCCGCGACGACGACGACGACTACGACGACGACAGCGACGGCGACTGGGCGCCGGGGGGCAAGGCGCGCAAGAAGCGCGGCGCGGACCTGCCGGCGTTCTCCGCCGGGGGCAAGCACCCCGTCGAGAACGCGCTCCGCTTCGAGCAGCTCCTCTCGTCCATCAGCCGCCAGGCCCACGTCGACGCCTTCGCGCCGCCGTCGTCAAGCGCAAGCAGACCGCCGACGAGTACCGCCTCCGCTCCGAGCCCAAGGTCAAGCCCGTCGAGCCGGAGGTCAAGCCCGAGCCCATGGACGTCGACGCGCCGCCGGCCGCCGCGCCGCCCGCGGCCGACGTCGCGGCCAACGGCTTCGCCGCCGCGCCGCCCGCCGCGCCGGCGCCGGCCGTCGCGCCGGCGCCGCCGCCCGCCGCGCCGGCGCCCGTCGCCGCGCCCGTCGTCGCGCCGGCGCCCGTCGTCGCCGGCACGGCGTCGCCGCCGCCGCTGCCCGCGCCCGCGGCGCCCGCGGCGACGCCGCCGGCCGCGGCCGCGGCGTCGCCGCCGCCGACGTCGGCCGACGGCCTCACGCCGCTGTCGCCGCCGCCCGAGGTCGACGACCGGCGCCTCTACTGGGGCCGCGCCGCCGTCGAGACGGACTACTACGAGCGCGAGCACTTTGCGCATGTCGCCGACAAGCCCTACCTCGGCCGCGTCGCGAACGGCGTCTGGGAGATCCGGCCGTCGCTCGCCAAGGTCGCCCTCGGCCACGTCCTCGGCACGCTCGTCCACAGTGGCCACGTCGTCGAGCTCGCCGACGGCGGCTTCGTCGCCGCGAACCTCTACCGCCGCGGCGTCGCCTTCGAGCGCAAGCGCGCGGGCGGCGCGAAGGACGCGCTCCCGGACGTCGAGCTCGAGCTCTCGGAGTACGAGATCCAGCGGCGGGAGCGCATGGCGCGCAACGAGGCCATGCTCAAGAGTCTCGGCTTCTGAGCACGCCCGGTCGCACTAAGAAAGAGATCGGGTTCAAGTTTCCTCACTGGCAGATGCCAGTGCCGCAGATCTAGACTCTGAGAGGCTCGGACCGTTCAACTGAGTCAAGTTAGTCGACGGACGCCCAGCGGCCGGGCCGCGGGCCCGTCGCCGTCCGCGCGGGCATGCGGAGGCAGCCGAGCTCGTCGGGCAGGTCGACGTCCTGGCTCATGCCCGCCCACGCGCCCGCGTAGGCGAACCTCACGACGCGGGGCGGGTCGCCGCGGGGCCGAAGCAGCCGGCCGTCGTACCATTTTTCCTCGACCAGGAGCTGGCACCGCAGGTCCGCGCGCACGTCGGACATCCTGACCCACTCGAAGCCCGGCGCGCACGCCTCGAACGGCGCGGACTTGGGCTTGAAGCCCGGCGCGCACTCGTCGCCGCTCGACTCGGCGCGCTGCCGCTTCTTGGGCTTGCACTCGAGGCCCCGCGGCTTGCACTCGAGGTCGCGCCGCCGCGGCTTGCACTCGAGGTTGCGCCGCCGCGGCTCGCACTCGAGACCCTCGTCGTCGTCGTCGAACTGGAACTCCTCCTCGCCGTCCGACTCGCCGCCCTCCTTCTCCTCGTCGAACTGGAACTCCCGCTCCTCCTCGCTGTCCGACTCGCCAAAGAGCGCCTCCGTCGCGGTCCGCGGCCGAAACGACGCGTTCGAGGACCGCTCCTCGTCCGCGGTCACGGCCGTGCTCCGCTCGTCGTCGGCGGGCTCGGGCGCGGCGCGCGGCTCGGCGCGCGCGGCGCGCGGCTCGCCCTTGACGGCCGCGGCGGCGGCCAGCGCCTTCTTCGCGACCTTCGGGGCGCGCCTCGCGGGCCGCGGCGCGGCCGCGGCGGGCGGCGCGGCGGGCGCGGCGGGCGGCGCGGGCGCGGCGGGCGCGCGCGCGGCGTCGCCCTCGCCGGCGGGCCGCGCCGCGTCGCACACATCGCACGTCGCGTCGTCGGCTTTGTTGTAGGCAAACGTGCACGACGTACAGGACCACATCGTGAGGTCGATCGGCGGCAAGGGCGACGAAGCGCTCGGCGCGGGCGCCGGGGCCTTCGGCGCGGGCGGCTGGGCCTTGGGCGCGGGCGGCGGCGCCGACGGCTTCGGTCGCTTGGCACCGGTCTCCGCCGAGGCGTCCGACGCCCGCTTCTTCTTCGGGATTTTCGGCATAACCGTGAGGTCCTCGATCTCGCCCCGCGCTTTCGCCTCCGAGAGGTTCGCGCGCGCGAGCTCCTCCGTCGTGCTCGCGCCCAGGAAGACGACCTCGTCGTCGGAGTCGTCCGCCCGAGGCGAGAACTCCTCCGCCTTCTCGAGGATGTAGCTCTCACGAAACACTCGATACTTCTTGCCGGTCTCCGTGAGCTGCGCGTGCAGCTCCGAGTCCTCCTGCACGTGCTTGCCCACGAGCCACGCGCGAGCGAACCCGCTCCGCCGCATGTCGCGCACGTAACCGGCGTAGCTCTCCGCGTCGATGTGCTCGCTGAAGCGCACGAAGAGCTCGTCCGGCTTCGATTCGTGCCTCAAGCGCACGGTCACCTCCGTGCGGCGCGGCGCGTCGCCAAAGCGAGCCTTAAACGCGTCCTCGGTCCAGTCGAGCATGGCGGTGGGCACGGTCCACTGCTTCGTCTCGAGGATGCGCAGCACGGCGCCGTGGACTTTGTAGATGTCGCGCGTCTCCTTCGCGTCCCACTCCGGCCCAAAGAGGGCCATATTTTGATCTCCCGACTTGCTGCGATCGATGCGGCGCCCAGGAACCTCAGCGACGCGAGGCAGGGCGTTTGGCTACGGCGAAACAGCGCCGCGCCGTCGACCCATCGGCCGCGGCGCTCTCCGAGGTCAGGCGATGCTTGTGTCCGAGGAGAACCTCGCCGCGGCGCCAGACAGCTCGTCGTGCACCCTCGACGCCGCCAAGCGCCCGCGAGTTCAAATCCACCATGTCCTCCATGGAGGTCGACGAGAACACGACCAAGATCGACGAGGGCTTGTACTCCCGCCAGCTCTACGTCCTTGGGCGCGAAGGCCAGGCGAAGATGTCGGCGAGCAGCGTGCTCGTCTGCGGCCTCAACGGCGTCGGCTGCGAGGTCGCCAAGAACGTGATCCTCGCCGGCGTCAAGGCCGTGACCCTCTTCGACCCGACGCCGGCGACGTGGTACGACGTCGGCGGGTCGCCCTACGTCGCGCCCGCGCACGTCGGGACCGCGACGCGCGCCGACGCGTGCGCGAAAGCGCTCGCGGAGCTCAACCCCTACGTCGCCGTGTCCGTCATGGGCGCCGGCGGCAACGGCAGCAACGCCGGCGACCTCCACTCCGGCGACGCGGCCGAGTGGGCCGCGCGCGTCGCGGGCTTCTCGTGCGTCGTCCACTGCGACGCTTCCAGCGACGCGGAGCTCGTCGCGGCGGACGGCGCGTGCCGCCAGGCGGGCGCGTGCTTCGTCGCCGCCGAGTGCCGCGGCGTCTGCTGCGCCCTCTTCTGCGACTTCGGGGACGCCTGGGCCGTGACGGACGTCGACGGGGAAGCGGGCGCGTCGTGCCTCGTCGCTTCCGTCACCCAAAGCCAGCCGGCGTTGGTCACGGTCACGGACGAGCAGCGCCACGGCATGAACGAGGGCGACGTGGTCCAGATCGCGTCCTGCGTCGGCGCCGAGGAGTTGAATGATCGCGAGTTCGAGGTCGTTCGGGTCACGTCGCCCTACGCGTACGAGATCGACTGCGACGGCACGAAGCTCGCGCGGCCCTACGTGGGCAGCGGCTACGCGAGCCACAAGAAGCAGCCGGGCACGGTCGCCCACGCGTCCCTCGCGTCGAAGTTCGAGAACCCCGGCGAGTTCCTCACGCCGGATTTCGGGAAATTCGCGCGGCCGGCGACGTTGCACGGCGCGTTCCGCGCGTTGCGGTCCTGGCGGTCGGCCCACGGCGGCGCCTTCCCCGGGCCCGCGGCGGCGGCGGCCGTCGGCGAAGTGTACGCGTCGACCTTCGCCGTCGCCGACGGCGAGGAGGGCGCGCGGGGCTTCGCGGAGGCGCTCGCGCGGACCGCCGCGGGCGACGTGTCGCCGGTGGCCGCGTTCCTCGGCGGCGTCGCGGGCCAGGAGGTGCTCAAGGCCTGCAGCGCCAAGTTCACGCCCGTGAGCCAGTGGTTCTACTTCGACGCCCTCGAGAGCCTGCCGGAGGCCGCGTCGCCGCCGCGCGGCGACCGCGACGATTCCGCGCGCGTCGTCTTCGGAGACGACGTCCTGGGCAAGCTCAAGAACGCCAAGCTCTTCCTCGTGGGCGCCGGCGCCATCGGCTGCGAGATGCTCAAGAACTGGGCGCTCCTGGGCGTGGGCGCCGGCGCCGGGGGGTCCGTGACGGTGACGGACATGGACCGCATCGAAAAGTCGAATCTGTCGCGCCAGCTCCTCTTCCGCGCGTCCGACATCGGCGAGGCCAAGTCGACGACGGCGGCGGCGGCGGCGCGGGCCCTGCGGCCCGAGATCAACGTGACGCCCCTCGAGCTGCGCGTCGGCCCGGACTCCGAGGACGTCTTCGACGACGCGTTCTTCGCGAGTTTAACGGGCGTGTGCACGGCGCTCGACAACGTCGACGCGCGGCTCTACGTCGACTCCAAGTGCCTCTTCTACCACCTGCCCATGTTCGAGTCCGGGACCCTGGGCACGAAGGGCAACACGCAGGTCGTCGTGCCGGGCCTCACGGAGCACTACGGCGCGAGTCGCGATCCGCCGGAGAAGTCCATACCCGTGTGCACGTTGAAGAACTTCCCCAACAAGATCGAGCACACGCTCCAGTGGGCGCGCGACTGGTTCGAGGGCGCCTTCAAGCAGGGCGCCGACGACGTCAACATGTTCCTCGCGCAGGGCAACGCGGGCTTCGAGAAAGCGCTCGACGCGCAGCCGAACACGAAATTGGAGGTCGCGGCCCGCGTGAAGACGGCGCTCGTGGACGCCCGGCCGACGACCTACGAGGACTGCGTCGTCTGGGCGCGGCTCCAGTTCGAGGACTGCTTCCACAACTCCATCGCGCAGCTGCTCCACAACTTCCCCGAGGACCAGGTCACGGCGGGCGGCGCGCCGTTCTGGTCAGGGCAGGACAAGAGTGATTCAACGTCGCTTCAATGTGAGTGTTCCGCGCGCGCGCGTTCTGGAAAAAGCATCCACGCGTCGAGACCGTTCCGAGAGATGATCGCTCGTCCAAAAATCAGCCGAAACGAGTGGAAACCGGCCGAGCTAGGAGCCTTTGAAGTTGGGAATTTCGCACTCTTGTCCTGCCCAGGTTCTGGTCGGGCGCGAAGCGCGCGCCGGCCACGTGCGCCTTCGACGCCAACGACGCGCTCCACCTCGACTACGTCAAGGCCGCGGCGGCGCTCCGGGCGTCGAACTACGGCATCAACTCGACCCTCGCGACCTACGACGCGGCCTTCTACAAGGCGGCGTTGGACCGCGTCATCGTCCCCGACTTCTCGCCGCGCGACGGCGTCAAGATCTCCGCCAACGAAGCGGAGGAGAAGAAGGCCAAGGAAGAGGTCGCCGGCGGCGACGTCGACGCCGACTGCGCCGCGCTGATCAAGGCTCTGCCCGCGGCCGCGTCGCTCGCGGGCATGAAGCTCGTGCCCTGCGACTTCGACAAGGACGACGACGCCCACATGGCCTTCGTCGCCGCGTGCTCGAACCTGCGGGCGCGCAACTACAAGATCCCCGAGGCCGACGTGCACCAGTCGCGGCCAGGGCAGCAAAAGAGAGCGAAATTCCCAACTTCAAAGGCTCCTCTCTCGGCCGGTTTCCACTCGTTTTGGCTGATTTTTGGACGAGCGATCATCTCTCGGAGCGGTCTCGACGCGTGGGCGCTTTTTCCGGAACGCGCGCGCGCGGAACACTCACGTTGAAGCGACGTTGAATCACCCTTGTGCTGCCCAGGTCGCGGCTCATCGCGGGCAAGATCATCCCGGCCATCGCGACGACGACGGCGCTCGTCGCGGGTTTGGCGTGCCTCGAGCTCGTCAAGGTGCTCCAGGGCAAGCCCCTCGAGGCCTACAAGTGCGCCTTCGCGAACCTGGCGCTGCCCCTCTTCGCCATCTCCGAGCCCAACGCGCCGGCGACGACCGCGGCCAAGATCCCCGGCGGGCGCCGCGGCGGCGAGGAGTGGAAGCACACGCCCTGGGACTGCATCGAGCTCGACGGCGCGGACCTGACGCTCAAGGCGCTCGTGGCGCACTTCGAGGACGAGTTCGGCTGCGAGCTGTCCATGCTGTCCTACGGCGTGTCCATCCTCTTCTCGTCGTTCGCGTCCGCGAAGAAGGTCAAGCTCCGCATGCCCATGAAGATCACGGACATCATCGCCGAGGTCACGAAGAAGCCCGTCGCGCCGAACCGCAAGTACCTCGTCCTCGAGGTCATGCTCCAGGACGACGACTGCGAGGAGGTCGACCTGCCCTACGTGCGGCTCAAGCTGTTCTAGGAGCCCCGTAGTAAGCGCACCGTCGGACCCTAGGGCCGCCCGAACTGGGGGAACTCGTCGTGGTAGAGCCGGAGGATTTCGCTCGCCGTCGGCTGGATGGCGTCCTCGGAGTGGTGCGTCATGGCCTCGAGCTCCGGCCGCCAGGGCGGCGACAGCTTCAGGTTCAGCCGCGCGACGTGGAGGATCGCGGACGCGAGGAGCGACGGCTGGATGGCGGAGAACTTGTGGTGCTGGAGGCACAAAGAGCAGAAGAAGGCGCACCACTTCTGGACGTAGAGGTAGAGCCGGTCGAACTTGTCCGGCGTCACGGGCGCGTCGCGGTGGAAGTCGCGCGGGCCCTCGGCGTCGCCCGCCGCGCGCGCGTAGAGCGGCTTGAGCGCGATGAAGTGCTGGAGGCAGTGGAGGGGCGTGACGCAGAGCACGCGCCAGCCCAGGTGCAGGTCGATGTAGCGCTCGCAGGTCCGCCAGTCCGAGTTCTGGCACTGCTTGCTGAAGAGGTCCGGCACGTGGCGCGCGAACGCGCCGTCGTCGGGCACGGGCGCGCGGTGCAGGCGCGCCGACGCGCGCAGCGCCGCCACGCAGAGGTAGGCCGCGTGCTCGCGCATGGTCCGCGCGACCCAGCGCAGCGCGTCGTCGCGCGCGTTCGGCAACAGCCACAACAGATCGATGAGGCGCACCGCGTGGTGCGCGACCGACAGGTCCAGGTCGCACTTCTCCGCGAGGCCGTGGAGCGAGTCGACGACGGCGCGCCGGTAGCGCGTCCACCAGGGGCTCGCCAGGCTCCCGTGGGCCCGCCGCGCGGCCTCGGCCTGCGCGCCGAGCACCGCCTCCGTCTCCAGCAGCCGCTCGAAGCGCTCGGCCGCGCCCGCGCGGTCGTCGGCGCCGCCGTCGAGCACGTAGGGCAGCACGTGCCGGAGTATCAGGTCCTTGGGCACGGCCGCGAGCCGCGGCGACCGCGCGTGGCACTCGAGGACGGCGAAGGCCGTGCGCCGCTCCGACGCCGGCAGCAGGTGGCCCCACTCGTGGATGTCGAGCGACGCGAAGCGCCGGAAGACGAGCACGGAGCTCGGCCACCGCGGACTCGCGAAGGTCCGCGACGGGTCGTCCATCAGGCCCACCTGCGGCCCGCGCCGGGCAGGGGCGAATGCGATTGCTGCCCCGGCGGAGCCGACGACGAAATCGAGGGGAAAGGAGGGCTGCACCTCGACCGCCTCATCTACCTTGCATGCCTCGAGATCGAGCTCGCCGCCGAGCGCGTCGTCTTGCGCGCCCACTCGCGCACCGCGCTCTCGGTCCCCTCGCCGCTCGCTCGCTTTCCCGCAAAGCGCCGGTACCATGTACGGCGGCGGCTACGGCGGCGGCTACGGCGCGCCGCCGCCGCAGATGGGCTACGGCGCGCCGCCGCCGCAGATGGGCTACGGCGGCGGCGGCTACGGCGCGCCGCCGCCCCAGATGGGCTACGGCGGCCCGCAGCCGGGCATGGGGTTCCACAACCAGATGCCCATGAACGCGCCGCCGCCGCCCCTGGGCCTGCCGCCGCGCGCGCCCGTCGGCACGCTCGACGACGTCAAGAGCCTGTGGGTGGGCGAAGTCCAGCCGGACTGGACCGAGGAGTACATGCGGTCCATCTACGCCGAGTGCAACAAGCGCTTCAACGTGAAGATCATGCGGGACCGCGCCACGGGCACGGCCGCGGGCTACGGGTTTTTGGAATTCGAGAGCCACGCGGACGCGGCGGAGGTGCTGCGGCTCTACGAGGACAAGCCCATCCCCGGCACGCCCTTCAAGTGCGTGCTGCGCTGGGGCGGCGGCCACGGCACGGCGGCCGCGAAGCCCAAGGGGGGCACGCCCTACGGCGCGGGCACGATGCACCCCGTGGGCTACTCGGGGCCGCCGCCGCAGGCGGACTGGTCCATCTTCGTGGGGGACCTGGACTACACGGTCACGGAGCAGCAGCTCCACGGCGCCTTCGCGAAGAAGTACCGGAGCATCCTCAGCACGAAGCTCGTCATCGACATGTCCACGGGCCTCTCCAAGGGCTTTGGGTTCATCAAGTTCGGCTCCGAGGCCGAGCGCGACTCCGCGATGAACGAGATGCACGGCCAGTACGTCGGCGAGCGCGCCATCCGCTGCACGCTCGCGACGACGCGCGAGGAGCGCGAGCGCGAGGCGAAGATGAACCAGCAGCAGCAGATGTACGACCCGAGCCGGTTGCACGCGCCGAAGGCGACGGAGGAGGGCGAGAACACGTGCGTCTTCGTCGGCGGCCTCGACGAGTCCGTGAGCCCGGACATGCTCCGCCACCACTTCGGGCTGTTGGGCGACATCGCCTACATCCGCATCCCGCCGGGCCGGGGCTGCGGCTTCGTCGGCTTCGTGCACCGGAAGAACGCCGAGGCCGCGATCTCGACGCTCCAGGGCCTCCGCATCAACGGCTACAAGGTGCGCCTGAGCTGGGGGTCCATGCGCCAGGGCCCGAAGAACGCCCGCGTCGCCCAGCAGGCCGCGGCCGCGCGCGCGGCGGCCGCGTCGGGCAAGCAGCTCACGCCCCAGGCGCGCGAGCTGCTGGGCTCCGCGGCGGGCGGGCTGATCCCCATGGTCACGCAGTTCAAGAAGGAGCACAAGACGCCCTTCGGGACCGTGACCAACGACTTCCTCGACGCGCTGCCGGACCCGTCCGCGCCCTGGCCCGCGCCGGACCCGCCGGGCGCGGCCGTCGACGACGGCGCGCCGGGCGCGTCCGCGCCGCCGCGCGCGCCGGGCAAGGGCAACGTGCCCACGTCGCCCTACGTCGCCCAGCTCAAGGCGCGCTACGACGCCTACAACGCCGCCGCGGGCGTCCGCGGCGCCGCGGCCGCCGCGGGCGCGGCCGCGAAGCGGCCGCCGGGCTCCGCGTTCTCCCACAGCAGCCGCCGCGTCGAGCGCTCCGCGAAGCGCGCGCTCGCGCTCGACGAGGTCGCGGCGGAGAACGACGCCTACGCCACCCACTTCCTCAAGCCCACGCTCCACGCGCTCTCGTCCGCCGTCGTCCTCGCCGTCGACCGGCCCAAGCCCATCGTCGCGCCCGACGACGCCGTCGCCCACACGCCCATGTCGCTCTTCGAGAAGCAGGCCGCGTCGTCGTAACCGACTCGGGCGCTACGATGTGTGGCAGTTTGTGCATGAACTACCACATCACATGAGCGCATCTTAGACCCAGTTGGCGTAGCGTTCGAGCGCGTTGCAGGCGGATAGGTCGTCCATGGGGATAGTAGAAGCAGCGTCTTCGTCGGTAGGGTAGTACCAACCGAAGGTCAACGAAGCGGTCGTCGGAGAGGGCTGGGCACCAGCGATGGCGATGCCGGTGCCTTGTCTTTGCCACAGCAGCTGAACTGTAGGTGCGAGTTGGACTTCGTGCTCATATAATTCTTCTTCTAACCAACACCGAAACTTTGCTGCTTCCGAACCGTCGTAATGTCCCAAAGATCTGCCCACATCTTCGAAGGCGAAACTGCCGTCTGTGTTGACCCGACCTTGTCCACGATACAGCCGCGCGAGCTGTAGGCCTTGAACGCCTCGTCGGGTCGCCATCACGCGGAAGTGTACATGTTGTTTGAATTCGCTCATGTTTCCTTCGCTGTCACGCCACAACTTGGAAACTCGGTCAAAGACACTGCCGGGTGGATGAAATTCTATCACAGATCGATTTCCTCCTTCGCGTAGTAATCCCGTGTCGAGGAAGAGAGATTCACGGAACACACGCTGGTTGAATTGAGTACGGTCGAATTCAGTCACAGCCTCGTCTCTAAGCGCGATTTCCAGTAGAAACCCATAATCGCGTAGGGCAGCTGTCGGCCGAATAAATGAACGTGATGGCTGCTCACAGAAGAGGCGGAAAAGGGCGTGCGGCGTTGTCATCGATTCCGACCGCGCGTCTTCGACAACCGAGAGGATTGGGAAGCGGCGGATAACAAGGCTGCGTTCGAAGCCCGGAGAAAGGTTCGCGAGACCGCGATTGAGCTCGGAGCTCGCCGCGGCGCACGCCGCCACCTCGTTCAGGTCAGAGTAGCCGAGGATCGCGTGCAATACGTCTGCGGGGAGCCCGAGGCGCCCCACGCCGCGGTCGCGATTGTTCGCGTGCGCCGCATCTCGAGCCCGTTTGTAGGCGTCGCGCGCCTGCCGGAAGGTCTCGAAGGCCTCAGCGACCGCGTCCATAATGTAAGACGGCCTCGGGTAAGGACCGAGGCGGCTAGGCGATTGAAATGGAGGCGGCCATGCCTGCTCCTAAAAGGCAACCATGCGGCAACCCGCTGCAACTTGAGTTGTTGCCGTCTGGTCTCGTCGACAAGCACTTTTCGGTCGCGCCCGTGAAGGAAAGAGTGCGAAATTCCCAACTTCAAAGGCTCCTCTCGTAAACTACCAAAGAGGGGAGCGCATCTTTACCGTGGCCTGGCGCGCCGGTCGGGCGGCGCCATGCTCGCGCGGACGTCGTCCGCGGTCGCGTTCGCCGGGAGCGCGAGCGCGGTCCTTCGGAACGCGGCGAAGACGGCGGCGACGGTCGCGTTTTGGCCCGCCCAGGCGCCGTAGTCGTGCGCGGCGCCGTCGTCGTAGGGCGCGAGGCCCCGGGAGACGCGCAGCGCGTTGAGCAGCGCGTAGTCCAGCGCGTAGTAGTCCCGAACCCGGGCGACCGTCGCGTTCGACAGGTCCTCCGCGGCGAACTTCTTCACGTGGCGCGCGGCGACGGGCTCGCGCACGCAGGGCGGGTCGGCGCAGCCGGCCTCGACGTCGGGGACGAGCTCGCCGAGCAGCGCCAGCGCGTCCGCGTCGAGCCGATCGGTCCAGAGGACGCGGTCGACGGCGCCGCCGCGCGCGTCGCCGACGTAGAGGTACTGCGGCAGGAGGTGGCAGTCGGCCGCGAAGACGCGGCGCTGGCCCAGGGGGCGGTACCCGTCGCGCCCGAGGCAGAACGCCACGAGGTCATCGACGAGGCGCAGCTGCGCGGCCCGGCCCTCCGTGCCGTCGGCGAAGCGGCCCCCGAGGTGCCGGAAGTCGAACGCCTCGCCCTCCACCCCCGAGAAGTGGGCCGTCGAGCCCCAGCCGTGGTTGAGCTCGCTCACGAAGCGCAGCAGCGGGTCCCTCAGGCTCGTGAACGTCGCGTTCTCCGCGCGCGCCAGGAAGCCGTAGAGGTACGGCGGCAGGTGCCACGGGCTCCGGCACGGCCAGCCCCCCTTGGGCCGCCGCGCGCCGGCCGCGACGCCCGCCCAGCCGCGGCGACCGACGTGGCAGCGCGCGCGCGCGTGGAAGTACTCCTCGACGCCCGTGCCGCCGGTCTTCGGGTTGTGGAAGTACGCGACGCCGGGGCAGCTATTGGACATGGGCTCCATCGCGGCGCAGCCGACGACGACGAGCGCCCACGCACGGCGCATGGCTTCGCGCAGGCTAGACCATCGTCAAGGCACCATGCATTGCGAAACTTCACTTATTGCAAGTCTTATTGCGAATCAACTTTTAATCAACTTGACCTCCGCGCCGAAAGCAAAATCTCTTACGCGTCGTCCTCGCTGTCCGTCTCCGGGTGGAGGTCGAGGTAGACGAGGAGGACGAGCTTGTCGGGCTTCTTCTTCAGCTTGCACTTCTTGACCTTGCAGTCCATGCGCCCGCGCGTGCGGATGAAGGGCCCCTTGCGCCCGGGCAGGTCGAGCTGCCGTTTGTGGCCCTGATGCCAGAAGCGGAGGACGACGGACGTGTCGTCCCAGAGCAGGGTGACGTCGTCGTCGGCGATGGCCGCGGCGCCCTTGGCGGGGACGTAGACGGAGATCTTCGCGCCGCCGTCCTCCTCGGCGAAGCCAAACTCGCGCACCTCCGTGATGGGCACCTCGCGGCGCGCCGACGTCTCGAGCTTCACGGGCGCCGTGTCGACCTTCACGCTCTGGTCCGTCGCGCCGTGCGCGTAGTAGTAGGAATTCTCGCCGTGCTTGCACACGGACGCGCCGAGCGCGCCCGGGGGCTCGGCGCGCCCGGGGTCCTCGGGCGTCACGTCCTCGACGACGAAGCCGTCGGCCTCGTCGAGGCGCTGCGGCGCCATGACGACCTTGGTCTTCTCCGCGCGGCCCTGCTCGCCGTGCGCGAAGTAGTACCTGGGCAGGAAAAGGGTGCGAAATTCTCAATTTCAAAGGCTCCTTTCTCGGCCGATTTCCACTCGTTTCGGCTGATTTTTGGACGAGCGATCATCTCTCGGAGCGCTCTCGAAGCGTGGATGCTTTTCCTAGAACGCGCGCGCGCGAAACACTCACATTGAAGCGACGTTGAATCACCCTTTTCCTGCCCTGAGTAGTACGAATTGCCGCCCTTGCGCGCGATGGAGTCGGCGATGGCGTTCTTCGACGGCGCCTTGGTCGTGATGACGCCCCGGTCCTTCGTCGCCGCGCCGCGCTCGCCGCGCTCGCTCTGCTGGCGCAGGAGCTCCTGCTTCGCGGCCGTCGCCTGCGGACGCGCCCGGTCGCGGCGCGAGCGCGGGGACGCGGAGCGCGCGCGCGCGCGCGAGCGTACATCCCCTCGGCTGTGGTTCTTCGTAATTTGAGTAGTCTTCCGCATCGGCGGGCGGGTTTCAAGCCGCCGCCTCTCGTGGTCGTAGGACTGGGGCTCGTCACCGGGGCTTTCGGCGGCGTTCGCGGGACGCGGCGCCGCGCGGAGATGGGCGCCCGCTCGTCGCGGCGGCTCGCCTCGCGCCGCTCGGCGACGAGCCGCAGGCGCTCGGCCTCGCGGCGCCGCGCGGCCGCGGCGGCCGGCGACTCGGCCGCGGCCGCGCGCGCCTCCGCGGCCGCGGCGTCCTGCGCGCGCCGGTGCGCGTCGACCTCGTCGCTCGACAGCGGCCGGAGCACGCGGCTGCTCACGTAGCCGCCGACGGGCTTGACGATGCGCCGCCGCGACACGCCCGCGGACGTCTTGGCGACGGACGCGTCGGCGGCGACGACGACGGCGCCGTAGACGAGGTCGCCGACCTGGGCGCTGTCCAGCTCCACGTCGGCGCGCACGACGGCGCCACTCCGGCCGATGACGCGGTAGAGCGGCCGCGACGACTGGAGCGCCGAGGCGACCATCACCGCGGCCGCCGTCGACCTAGGCACAGCCACAGCGAGTGGCAAAATGGAGCGCTGCTGGCCTCAAGGACTTGTCGTTGAATTGGTCCCATGATGTTGAAGTGACCGCCCGCGCGCTGGGGCAGCGTTTGGACGCTCTGGACGCTCGTTAGAAGGCGCCGGTCGACGGACGACTCGCGCCGCGCGCCGCGCCGCCCGTCGGCGCACGTCGCCGCGCCGCCGCGTCGCGCATGGGCGGCCCGGTCGAGAACCTCCTGCGCGCCGCGGGCTGCCCGCTCTACGCCGTCCCAAAGGCCCTGGGCTTCGACGTCGAGGCGCAGCGGAGCGCGGCGCAGGTGGAGGCGGACAACGCGCGCGGGTGCGTGGCGCCGTGCTGGGACGAGACGGACAACGGCATCCCCGACGTCTGCCTCGAGCGCAAGTGGTGCCCCTTCAACCCGGACAACCCCGTCACGAACGACAACTTCGTGTGCCTCGTCTTCGGCAACATCGGTTTCCCCTACTTCGACCGGCGGCGCAAGGTCTACATGGGCGTCGCCATGTGGTCGACGCTGCTCGCGATGTTCGTCACGGCCTTCGGCGCGCTGTCGCTGTCGACGGACCCGGACGTCGTGCGCACGTCCTACTGGGCGAAGCTCGAGACCTGGAACGCGACGTCTCGGGAGACGACGCACTACTACCTGGGATTACGGTCCATCGTCACGGTCTACGACGGCGGCGACGAGACGACGGACCGGCTCGAGATCGACTACATGGTCGGGCGGATCCCCGGGAGCCGGAACGTCGACCCCATGCGCGAGGAGCTCCTCGAGAGCTGCGCCGACAGCGCCGCGGGGAACCAGATCGGCGCCTTACTTTCCTGCGTGACGCTCATCTTCGCGCTCCTGGGGACGATCAACCGCATGAAGTTCTCGAGCGACGCGAACGTGCAGAAGGCGCTGGGCCTCGTCACGGACACGTGGGGCGCTTTAACGCTGAGCTACACGCTCTTCAACTTCCACGCGAACTGCTTCGACGACCTGCCGAACCGGTTCCTGCACCTGGACCTCGACTACGAGTGGGGGCCGGGCTGGATCTGCTACCTCTTCTGCGCGTTGAGCGGGTGCATCCGCGCCGCGGCGCACTGGGTCACGCCGACGCCGGGCAACGGCGCGGGCGCGTGCACCTTCAGTCTACCGATGGAGATTTTAAAGCTCCTGGACGCGGACGGCGACGGCGAGATCACCTGGGAGGACCAGAAGCTCATGTTCCGGAACCTGAAGAAGTTCATACAGCACGAGACCGTCGAGGTCCGGAGCCGCGCGACGATCCTGCGGGCCGACATGCTCAAGGGCGGCGGCCGCTTCGTGCGCGCCGCGTCCGACGCGGCCGAGGACCTGGCGGACCGCGTCCGCCACTCGCTCACGGCCCACGACGAGAGCCCCCGCGCGCTCGGCGACGACGAGAAGCGCGACCTCGTCGCGGGCGCGCTCGCGGACTTTGGCGGCGCGGCGCCCGCGCCGCCGGCGCCGGCGACGGCGACGTCGCCCGCGTCGCCGGCGCCCGAGTCGCCCAAGGCGCCCGCGGCGCCCGCGGCGCCGAGGAGCCCGCCGCGCGACGCGGGGCCCGCGCCCGCGGGCGAGCGCGACGGCGCGCCCGAGGACCCCCTCGCGCGGCGCGTGTCCCTCTCCCTCGCGAAGCAGCGCCACAACGCGCGCCGGTCTTCCATCGCGCGGTCCGTGCCAGGGCAGGACAAGAGAGCGACATTCCCAACTTCAAAGGCTCCTTTCTCGGCCGTTTCCCACTCGTTTCGGCTGATTTTTGGACGAGCGATCATCTCTCGGAACGGTCTCGAAGCGTGGATGCTTTTCCCGGAACGCGCGCGCGCGGGACACTCACGTTGAAGCGACGTTGAATCACCCTTGTCCTGCCCAGGTCCGTGCTCCGCGAGTCGACGGCGCACGACCGGCACGAGCGCCTCGCGAAGCGGTCCGCGGAGCGCAGCGCCGCGCGCCGCGGGTCCGTGCGCACGGCCAACGTGCCGACCTACCTCTACGGCCTCTCCGACGACGCCAGGTGCTCGCCGCGCCTCCTCGAGGAGGACGAGGCGCGGCGCCACCACCGGCCCAAGGCCATGTGGAACAAGGTGCGGCTCAACATGAAGCACCTCAAGCAGGCCCAGGTGCGCCCGGACGACGGCGCCGGGGCCGCGGACGCGGCGCCGGAGGCGGACCCCGACCCGGTGACGGCGCAGCCCGCGCCGAGCCCGCTCGCGCCGCCGCGGCGACTCGACGGGGGCGACGACCCGGGGCCGCTCCGCCAGGGCCGCCTGCCGCCCCTCGCGGACCGGCGCGACCTGCCGCCCCTGCGACCGAGGGACGACGAAATGAAGTCGCCGTAAAGCGCGGACTCGTGGGGAAGCCAGCTCACGGCAACCTTGCTTCAAGCGATCGCTTCAAGCATGTTGACGATCCGCCCGTGTGAAGCACTGAGCTATGGCAGGCGCCGCTGTCTTGCTGGCGCTCGTCGCCACCCGCGCGGCGGCGTTCGCGCCGCCGCGGCCAACGCGCGCGCCCCTCGTCGCGCGGTCCTACAAGCGGCCCGACGCGCCGCCGAGCCCCGACGGGTTGTCGTCGCTGCGGTCCGCGGCGGCGAGCGGCCGCTGGCGCGAGGCGCTGGCGCTCATCGCCGCGGCGGAGGAGGCCATCGGCGACCGCGCGGCCAAGGGCGAGGGCCAGGCGTTCCCGCTGCCCATCGAGGCCTACAACCTCGCCATCACGGCCTGCGGCGCCGCGGGCGAGTGGCGCGAGGCGCTCGGCGTGCTCCGGCGGCTCACCGTCGGCGTCGACTTCGACGGCGACAAGGGGTCGGTCCTCGGGCGGCGGCCGCGGCCCGACCACGTGACCTTCAACGCCGCGGGCGCCGCCGCGGCGAAGAGCGGCAGATGGCGCGACGCGGAGATGGTGTTGGACCAGAGCAGGCGCTACAAGCGGAGCCACATCATCCTCTACACGTCGGTCATCGGCGCCTGCGGGCGCGCGCGGGAGAAGGGCCGGGCCCTGGGCCACCTGGCGCGGCTCCGCGAGGAGCGGGGCCGCGCGGACGTCTTCGCGTTCACCGCGGCCGTCGACGCGTGCGCGCGCGCGGGCGACTTCGCCAACGCGACGGCGCTGCGGCGCGCGATGGAGGCCGAGGACCGCGTGGCGCCGAACCTGCGGACCTTCCGCGCGCTCGTGTCCGCCGCGGGCAACGCCGGCGAGTGGGCCGCGGCGGAGGAACTGTTGGAAGAGGTCCGCGCCGCGTTCGCGGCGCGCGACGGCGACGACAGGGGCTGGCGGCTCCGGGACTACGCGGCGTGCCACGAGGCGGCGCTCTTCGCCTGCCAGGACCGGGGCGACTACGCCCGGGCCGCCGCCGTGCTCGGCCGCGTCGAGGCGGACGTCGACGCGCGCGCCGTCGGCGGCCGCGACGGCGACGCGCTCGACTTCACGCTGCGCGGCCACGTCGCCGCGGTCGGCGCGTGCGCCGCGTTCCGCGGGCCGGCGGAGGGCGAGGACTGGGCGGACCGGCGCCGCGTCGCCTTCGAGCTGCTGCGGCGCCTCGAGGACCGCGTGTCCGCGCCGGCGCGGCGGTCCATGCTCTGGCGGCGCGCGCGCGAGCGCCGCGCGGCGCACAACGCGGTCTTGGCGGTGTGCGGGCGGGGCGGTTTTGTGGGTGATGCTTGGAGCTCCTCGAGAACGCGACGACGAAAGGGTTGAAGCCCGACGCGGCGTCGTTCAACGCGTGCCTGGCCGCGTGCCGCCGGTCCGAGCCGCCGAAGGCCGAGGCGTCGCTCCGCATCTGGCGCCAGCTCATCGACGACGGCACGGCGGCGCGGCCCGACGGCGTCTCCGCGGCGGAGACCGTGGCCTGCCTCGAGCGCGGCAACCGCACGGCCGACGCGGACGAGGTCTTCGGCGACTGTTTGCGGCTGGGCGTGCTCCTCACGAAGCCCGCGGGCCCGCGGTCCGCGGCGCCGCCGTCGGGCGTCAAGTCGTCGTCGTTCCTCGACGAGGACGGCGAGTACGACGTCAGCGGCATGACCGTGCCCCTCGCGCGCTGCGCCGTGCGGCGCGCCGTCTACGAGGCCGCGGCCGACCTCGACCCGAAGGCGACGGCGAAGGCGTCCGTCGTCTTCATCACGGGCGTCGGCGCGCGGCGCCAATTCGACCCGAACCACGTGCCGCTCCGGACCCACGTGCTCCAGCTCCTGCGGCACGGCTTCGACCCGCCGCTCGTCGCCTTCGTGCCCGACGACGCGCCGGGCACGGTCAAGGTCGAGACGCGGTCCCTCCTGGCCTGGGCCGCGGCGCGCGACGAGGACGCCGCGGACGCCGCGGAGAAGCGGCCCGCGCGCGGCGGCGGCGCGAAGCGCCGGGGGAAGCGCGGCCGCAAGAAGGGCCGGCCGAGTAGCAAGTAAAAACAGTGTCGTAACGCCCGCAAGTAACAGTTACGATCGGAGCGCCCGCAGGAGGGCCTCGTCGCGGATGCCCGCGAGGTCGAGGCCGACGTCCGCGCGCGTGAGCGCGACGCCGGGCGGCGGCGCCGCGCACGCCGGCCCGCCGCAGAGCGCCGCGCGGAAGTCCGGCGTGGCGTAGCCGAAGCTCGCGAGGGCCGGCGCGTGCTTGGACCGCCACTTGGCGAGGTCCGCGGCCGCGCGGGGCACCGCGGCCTCGCGGTGCGCGGACGCGCCCGCGACGCACGTCTTCCGCCGGTCGAGGACGCCGCCGTCGAGCCAGCACGCGACGTACTGCAGGTTCGACCGCGCGAGCCCTCGGAAGGGCGCGAGGTCCGGCGCCGCGCCGCCGAGGACGCGCGCCAGGGCCGGCGAGGCCCCGTCGAGCGCGACGGCCTCCGCGTGGACGACGGCCGCGTGGTCGAGCGCCGCGAGGTCCTCGCGCGCCTTGGTCCAGACGCGGCGCCACATGTCGAGGCGCCGGTCCATGGCCCGGTCCTCGGCGTCGACGAGGTAGCGCGTGTGCTTGGCATTCCACTTGTTCTTGAGCCACTTGTCCACCGCGAGCGCCCAGGCGAGCGGATGGCGGAGCACGAAGACGAAGCGCGCGTTCGCCGGGTAGAGCGCCTGGAGGAAGGTCGACCGCACGACGTTCTCCGGCGTCTTCTCCACGAGCACGGCCGCCGACGCGTTCCAGAAGTCCTTCCACTCGTCCCAGAGCTTCGCCGCGTTCTCGGCCGTCGCGAGGTCGGAGTCGGCGTTCAACGCGAGGCGCCGGAGCCCCCGGCTCCCGCCGCGGCCCCAGTCGCGCAGGGCGTACACGTAGGGATAAACGTCCTGGGCGAACTTGCCCTCGACGCCGCCGCTCCTGATGACGTCGCGGAGGTAGGACCGCTTGACGCCGCGCCAGCGGCAGATTTTCGCGAACCGGTCCTCGGACGCGTTCGCGCTCAGGGACCGCTTCAGCCAGTCGAAGGACTGGGCGCTCGCGCCGTCGAGCGCGTCGATGGTCGTCGCCAGCGTCGTCGTGCCGCTCCGCTGCAGGCCGCCGACGAAGAGCAGCACGCGGCCCGCGTCCCGCGCCGGCGCCGGCGCCGCGGGCCGCAGGAGCGCGAGCCCGAGGGCGCCGTGCGGCTGCGCGACGTGGCCGTGCTCGGCGACGAGGACGCTCGTCGCCAGCAGGCAGACGGCGCCGACGGCCGCCAGGGCGACGGCGAGCGGGCCCAGCATCATCCCATGCTCTCTCTTATTTCGGGCTGCAACTCGCGTTCAAGAATCGCCTCGCCGCCAAAGAGCTCCGGTCGTCGTCGTCGCGCACCTTGCGTGACGCCCCGCCGGTCGCGCGGACCATGGCGCCGTCCAAGGGCAAGACCCTCAAGAAGCTCGAGGCGACGGTGAAGAAGCGCGTCGAGCTCGACAAGGCGCGCGAGGACCTGCCGAACCGCGACGGCGCCCTCGAGGGCGAGGTCTACGGCGCGCGCCTGGGCGCGCTCCTCAAGGAGGTCGACCCGGCCTACGCGCTCGAGCCCGAGGCCGAGGAGCTCGTGCTGAAGATGGCCGACGAGTTCGTGCACCAGGTCACCAAAAGGGCCGCGGAATACGCGAAGCACCGCCGGTCGGGCACGCTCGACGCCGTCGACGTGCAGCTCTGCCTCGAGAAGCACTGGGACATCGTCGTGCCGGGCATCCCCGCGCGCACGGCGCCGCGGCCCGCGGCCCTCGCGGCGCCCTACACGTACCGCCGCGTCGACCCGCGCGCGCCCGCGCCGCCCCTCGTCGCCGAGGACCGGCCCCGCAAGGGCAGCAAGCGGCCCCGCGCGTCCTAACTTCGCTATCATCTACGGCCGCGACCAATCAGTTGATCGTCTTCGCGAGGTAGAAGCGGAGGTCCTGGAAGGGCAGGCGGATCTCGCCGGACGTGCCCGCGGCGCGGAAGACGGGGAGCATCATGTCCTGCTTGACGAGGTAGTCGATGCGCTTCGCGTCGAAGACGGCGCCGTTGACGATGAGCGCGGGCGGGCTCACGCCGATGCGGCGCTTGAGGCTCCCGACGAGCGCGCCGCTCTCCGGCTGCTGGTCGAGGCGCACCTCCGTGTACTTGGTCGTCTTCGACACCTTGAGCGCCTCGATCGCGGACTGGGACGCCGCGGAGCCGTCCGAGAAGAGCACGGCCTTGGACCCGGACACGAAGCCGTCGAGGGCCGCGTCGGCCTCGGGATTGGGAAGGAACTGCTGGAAGAAGGCCGTCGGCGCGGCGCGCGCGGCCGTCCTCCGCGCGGGCGCGGCCCGCGGCAGCGTGCGCGCCACGAGGCCGCAGGCCTGCGCCACGAGGAGCGCGGCGGCGACGACTCCGAAGGATCGGCGGGCCATCGTCTTTGCAAATCCAGGGCTTGCGTCGACGCGTGCGGCATCATGGCGATGGTGCCGTTCTCCAGAGATTCGCGCATTGATGCTGCCCCCGCTATCGACGATGTGCGCCGCGATGCGACGCAGCTCGCGCGTGCTCCTCGTCCTTGCAGCGACGACGTCGGCGCTCGCGCCGTTGCCGTCCCACGCGCGCCGCGGTCCGCCCCTGCGCGCCGCGGCACCGCTGAAACCGAGCGGCGGCGCCGCGGCGCCGGCCGAGGCGCCGCGGCGGCTGCTCGTCATGCTGTCGCTGGGCTACGGCGGCAGCATGTTCGCCTTCCGGCCGACGCTCATGATCGTGCTGCCCGCGCTCCTCAAGAGCCTCCACCTGTCGGAGGCCGACGGCGGCGCGTTGCTGAGCACGTGCCAGCTGAGCTACATGGTCGCGAAGCCTCTGTCCCAGGCCGCGAGCGACGGCGTCGACGCGCGGCTCTTATTGGTCGCGAGCGAGGTCGCGACGGGCGCCTGCTTCTGCCTCCTGGCGCTGGCGACGACGAGGCTCCACCTGCGGGTCTTGTTCGCGCTGATCATGGCGTTCCAGGCGCCGCACGTGCCCGCGGCCGCGCGGATCATCACGACGCGCTACGCGGCGGCGAAGCGCGGCAAGCCCTTCTCGACGATCAACGCCGCGGCGAACCTCGCGTCCTGCGCCGTGCCCCTCGTCGTCACGCGCGCCGTCGCGCGGTTCGGCTTCCGCGCGCTGTTTCTGGCCGTCGGCGGCGTCTGCGCGCTGCTGCCCCTGGTCCAGTACGCGAGCATCGCCGAGGGCGACGTCGCCGCGCCGGCGGCGGCGGCGGCGCCGGCGCCGGGCCTCGGCGGCGTGCTGCGGTCGCGCGTCGTCTGGCTGCTGGGGCTGTGCTACGCGCTGCTCTACTTCGTGCGCATGGGCGTCGAGGGCTGGGTCGGGACCTTCGCGCCGGGCTGCGTCGGGCGGTTCCTCTTCTTCTGGCAGGTGGGCGGCGTCGTCGGGTCGACGGCCGCGGGGCCGTCGTCGGACCGGCGCGGCGGCGACCCGGCGCCGCTCGGCGTCGCCTTCGCCGCGGCGCTCCTCGCCTTCGCTTTGGCGTTTCGCGTCGTCGGCGACGAAACCCACCCGCTCATCGTCGCCGCCGTCGCGTCCCTCGGCGGCGCCGCGGCCTACGGCGCGCGCGTGCTCAACGGGGCAGGAAACGAGTGATTCGAGTTCGCTTCAACATGAGTGTTCCGCGCGCGCGCGTTCCGGCAAAAGCATCCACGCGTCGAGAGCGCTCCCGGAGATGATCGCTCGTCCAAAAATTAGCCGAAACGAGCGGAAAATGATCGAGATAGGAGCCTCCAAAGTTGGGAATGTCGCACTCTTTTCCCGCCCAGGTGCTCAACGTGCTCACGACGCGCGCGACGGTCGACGCGCGGTCCTGCGGCAAGGCCGACGCCGTGACGAACGCGCTCGCGGAGTGCGGCGGCGCCGTGGCCGGGCTGCCCCTCATCGCCCTCGTCCAGCGCGCGGGCTGGGCCGCGTACCCCCGGACGCTCGCCGCCGCCGCCGCGGCGCTCGTCGCGGCGCACGTCGCCCTCGCCGCCGAGTGCCGCCGGGGCGCGCCCTAAGTTTAATCCGGCGACAGGAGGCCCTCGCGGTCCGCGGCCATCGGGCCGTCGGCGGGCCTCGCGGCGGCGAGGACGTCGAACGTCGCCGCGACGCCCGCGTAGAAGCCCAGCGCGAGGGCCGGCGACGCGGACCGGCCGCGCGCGGCGGCCGTCAGGGCCGCGAGCGCCGCCAGGACGACGAGCGCCGCGTCGGCGCGCCGCAGCTCGAGGCCGAGGACGTCGCCGACGCCGCGGAGCGCGAGGCCCGCGGCCGCCGCGGCGCCGAGGACCGCGTCGGGCCGCTCGAGCGGGTCCCCGAGGGGCTGCGGCAGGTAGCGGGCGCGGCGCTGGACGGCGGCGCACGCCTCGCCGGCGGCGAAGCAGGCCAGGGCCGCCGCGAGGTGGCGGCCGGCCGCCGCGCCGCGGCGAGGCGCGGCGAACCTCGGCAGGAAGCCAAAGGCGCCGACGGCCGCGCCCAGAGGCTGCCAGGGGACGGCCGCGCCGCGGGCCCAGTCCTCGGCGTGGCCCAAGACCAACAAGCCGGCGGCGGCAAGCGCCGCGCCCCGGGCCGCGTCGCCGCCGTCGGGCGGCGTCCCGCGGCCCCGCTCGAGGCGCTCGCAGGCCGCCGTCCGCGCCCGCTGCGCCGCCGCCGTCGCCCGGGGCGACGCGAGGACCGCGGGGAGGAGGAGCCAGAGGCCGCAGGCGACGACCCAGGCGCGCGACGCGGCCGGGATCGCCTCGAGCGCGGGATCGACGATCGCGTCCGCGTAGCCGAGCGACGTGGAGAAGTGGGACCCGTGGGGCGCGACGTGGTGGAGGCCGTGGGTCCGCGGCGAGAGCACGAGCCCCGCGGCGACGAGGCAGCGGACCCAGGCGGGCGACGTCCAGGACGGCGCGTGCGCCCACCGGTGCGCGAACTGCGAGAGCGCGCCCGCCGAGCCCGCGACGTAGACGAAGAGCGCCGTCGGCGCGGCGCGGCTCGCGTCGAAGGCGCCGCCGCGGACGCGGGCGAGGAGCAGCAGGCCCGCGAGCGTCGCCCAGACGACCGCGGCCGCGGGCGCGAGGCGCGCGAAGAGGAACTTCGCGGCGGGCGCCGCGGCGAGCTTCGTCGGCGCGAGGTGGTGGGCGGCGTCGACGGCGCTGTGGTGGTCCAAAACGACGTGGAGCAGCAGCCCCGCGACGTCGTCGTAGGCCGCCGCGAGCGCGACGAGCCGCGCGAGGCCCAGCGGTCCCAGATTTCTCGCGTGCTTCGCCGCGCCGACGGTCGGCAAAAGAAGCGCCGCGGCGGCGAGGCCGAGGCTCAGGCCCAGCAGGAGCTGCAACGCGGGCACCGTGGCGACGTCGAGGGCGCCGAAGCGCGCGGGCCGCTCGCGTTTCGAGGCCGCGAGCGCGCGCTCCGCGCCGGCCGCGACGCGCGCGCAGAGGGCCTCGCAGCCCTCGCCGACGCCGCGCACGCGCCGCGCCGCGGGCGACGTCGACGTCGGGTCGCCCGGGTGGCTCAGCAGGTCGCCGCGGGGCAGGTCCTCGATGCCGTGCTTCGCGTACGACTCGGAGTGGCTGGTTCTTGTCTCTCCGCCGCGGAAGCTCGGCGCGACGGCGAGGGCCCAGGCCGTTTTCGCGTCCCAGCAGCAGCACTCGTCGCCGAGCTCGAAGCCGTTGTGCTGGCCGTCCATGTCGCTGTCCGACGCGCAGAGCTCGAGGCTCCAGGTGTAGTCGAACATGGCCCAGTCGAGGCCAAAGGGGTTGTCGTCGCCGAACCAGGCGCCGTGGCCCTGCGCCGACAGCCGCGCGCCGTTGGGCACGCCCACGCGGAAGTCGTCGTAGGCGCTGCCCAGCAGCATCATCGCGCTCAAAGACGGCCATCCCATCGCAGCGCGACTGCAAAACGCTGCACAATGTCGATCATGAAGCACGGAGGACATTCGATCGACTTTTACCAAGGGGATATAAATCTAGATGGGGTGGCAGGCGAAACGCGAGGTCCTCGTACTACTCGGGGCCGCCGCTAGCGTTTTCTTTCTTCTTCCACGCCGCAGCGCGCGGGCTGAGTGCAACGATGGCGGGTCGCGCGGCGCGGCGCGGCTGCGGAACCCTTCGACGGGGCGGGGCAGCGAATTTGGGCTGCTGAGATCATTGCGTTGGCTCGCGAGCGCGACGGTTGTTCGGCGGCGGGACGAGAGGGCGGCGGTGTGAGTCGAGTGTGCGATATTTTCTTGTCCTTAGAGGTTGGAGGCGCCCTATGGGTACCCGCGGGGGGCTCGAAACCTTCAGGACACACTTTTCCCACGATCTCAGAGCCTGCGCAGCCCCGGCGCCGACGGTGTCGCAACACAGTTTCTCGGGCAGCGAGACGGTCCACGACCATCATCATCGCGAACACGTCCAAGAGCTGCCCCAAAACCCCCTTCCTCGCGTGGCGCCAAACCGGACACGGTGCCCTCCAGCGCGCCTCGGTTTCCTTCCACCGGACCCGAACCGCCCGGACGCGTAAGTCTTGTCGCGGGCGCCTTCGCGGGGGAGCGAATACCGCTGCGGTCCGTCTGGGGCCGCGTCGACGACGGCGGCGTCGAAAAGTCCCCGGCCAAAAGTCGTCAACATTGCCCCAAAACGATGGGTTGCAGTACGAGGAGCTCGCGCAACATAATCTCGTTGAGCTGCCACCCCATACTATTTATTACCCCTTGCTTTTACCCCGGCGATGGCGCACCACGCGTGGTGCCGCTCGACGTTCGACCCGTTCGAAGACCCCGCGAACTGCGTTCGCGCCGCGCGCCCCCCCAATGCCGAGTTGTTCATTCCGAATGTCTCGTTCACCTCGGTCGGCGCCCATGGATCACTAAATGGAAATCCCCAGCCGTTTGAGGACGCCGTCGAGGCCTACCACGTCAACTGCCTCTCGCGCCTGCCCCCCGACGACCCGCGCTGGGCGCATCCCCTGGCGCGGCGCCTGCGGCCCGACGTCGAGTTCCTCCGCAAGCACCACCGGGCGCGGAAGCGCCGCGTCGTTTTCGACGCGGCGGCGCTCCGCGCGCGCGAGGACCTGACGCCGGACGAGTTCGAGTACGTCGAGGCCTTCGCGAAGGGCGCCGTGGCGTGCGGCGTGGCCGCGACGCGGGAGGCGAAGAAGTCGCACTACGCCGGCATCAGCGCGGCGAACCTCGCGGTGGTGGCCGTGCTGCGCGACAAGCGCGCCGTGCGGCAGCGCGCCGCGCTCGCCGAGCGCCAGCGCGCGCTCGCCGTCGACGTCGGCTTCACGGACGCCATCCGGGCCGCGGTCGGGTGGGCTGGGGACGGCCTGCCCGACGACTGCCCGTCGGCGGCCCACCTCGGGTCGCCCGACTGCCCCGGGCGCGCGCGCGCGCTCCGCGCCTTCTTCGAGGGCCGGTCCCTGTCCCCGCGCGGCGTGCTTAGATCGGTGTCCCGAGAGTCGCGTCGGCGCGCGAGAGTCGCCTGTCCTCACACCACGCCCCCCGCTCGCAGGTCGACAAGGACAAGGACCGGATCCGCAAGGCCCTCGGCGACGACGGCTTCCGCGAGATCATCGCCGCCCGCTACCCGCGACTCGTCCCCTACCCGCACATCATCGAGGCGCTCGCCAAGCGGGCGCAGCTGGACCATGTGTTCAGCTGCGCCTGCGACCACCCCATGAACCTCTTCCTCGAGTCCGACGTCCTCAACTCCTCCTTCAGCGACTACAACATCATGGCCCTCAAGGCCGCCATGTACACGCCGCCCGTCATGCGGGCCGCGGGCGACTGGGTCCGCGCGGCGTTCTCCGCGCAGGTGGACGTCGTCTCCGTCGCCGCCGAGGCGTAAGGTAGTCGCTAGTCAGCGAGTTAAGGTGGCGGGAAAATCGAACGGCCTAAGGTCACGCGCGCGTCGATCCGGGGGCCGTGCGTCGCGCCGCGCGTGCGGCCGAGGGTGGGCTAGGGCGGCTCGTCGAGCGCCGCGGAGAGCACCGCGCCGAGGTCCGGGACCGACCGGATCGCCGCGGGCGCCTCTGCCGCGAAGGGACGTCCGCTCCTGCGGCGCCGCGGACTGGAGCAGGACCTCGTCCGCGTCGCCGAGCGCGTCCGTCCGGTCGAGCGCCGCGCCGTCGTCGCCGCCGCGCGGAAGGGCGTCGCGACTTCGAGGCGGTCCTCGTCGTAGCGCATGGCCTCCGCGTAGCGCGCGGCGTCCGCGTAGCGCGGCCCGTCCTCGTAGCGCGGCGCGTCCTCGGGCCGCGGCGCGGCGGCGGCGGCGTCGTCGAAGCCGGGCGCGTCGTCGGGGAAGTAGCCCGCCGGCGCCGCGTAGGGCGGCGGCGACCCGGACGCGTCGAGGGAGCCCGCGGTCGCGGACAAGAACGACTGCTCGAGCGGCGCGTCGCCGTTGTCGTCGCGCGTCGGCGGCGCGCCCGCCGCGGCGGGCGCGTCGGCCCAGGCCGGCGCGTCGACGGAGAACGCGGCGTCGGCCGGGAACGGCACATCCGAGGCCGCGGCGGCGTCGCCGTCGGGCGCCGACGCGGAGCGGCGCGCGGCCGCGGCGACGTGGTGCGGCGAGAGCGACGAGAGCGAGAGGTCGTGGACGGGCCGGCCCGCCGCGGACGCCGTGGAGACGCGCGCCGGCGGCGGCGGGAGCGTTGCCGAACTGCGACGCGCTCTACATGTCGGTGAGCGCGGCGTCGAGTTCGGCCCGGTCGCGGTGCGCGATCCGCAGACGAACACCGTCGTCGCCGCGGCCGCCGGCGAGCCCTGCGGCACGAGCCGATAATCGACGACGTCGCTGGCGCGCGTCTTCGACATCCAGTCGACGCTGCCCGCCAAGGGCAGCCCGGCCCGCGCTCGAGCGCCTCGAAGTTTGGCCGCGACGTGGGCTCGCTGCTTCGTGCCCGTGCGCGGCGCGACGTCGCGGCGGCGCGCGGCCGCGAGCGCTCCGCGGCGCGAAGCGCCGAAGAGAAAAATCACGCGAGTTTACGCGTCGTGGCGTCTGCGCGAGCATAGGATCCACGCCGCCATCGACTGTACGTTATGTGCCCATATCTTTAGATATGCGGCACATAACGTACAGTTGAAGCATCTCGAACCAGCCCGTGCGATGGGATGCCGACAGACTGCACCCGCGAATGCGAAGCGGCGCGCAATCGGGCCTGCTCAGTGCGGCTCGTGCGCGCGCAGGAAGGCGCGCTGCGCCGCGGCACCGAGAAATTTGCCGTTCGCTTCTCTGTTCTTGAACTCCGCTCCCACCACGAGGTTGTGGCGGCCTCGTGCGGCCACTACATCGTCGCAATGCTACCAATCCATGAGGTTTCGGTGGCACAACGTCCGCAGGCGTCGCGGGCGACAGTTCGCTCGCGCGGTCGACGTCTTCTCGACGGTGCTGCGCATTAACGGGCTCGTATCGGTTCGCGAGCCGCCGTCGAGCGTCTTTTCGGGCTGCGGAGATCGATTTTTTCGACCCAAGGAACGCAACCGACGTCGAGGGAGCGGCCCCCGGATCCCAGTCGACCGGAAACCTCGCGCTAGAGAACCACTCGTTCGCGAATGAGCACCGAGAGCTCGTCTAGAATTACATCGACGAGGAGCCGCTCCGCGTCTTCGGCGACGGCGACGGCGGCGGCTGCCCCTACGCGATGGCGTCGTCGAGCCGGCCGCCCGGCGCCGCGGGCCGCCGCTCCTGGCGCGCGACGACGGCGCCCGGGACCACGTGCGGAACGGCCGCGCGGTCGCCGACCGCGTCGACGAGGAGCCGCTCCGCGTCTCTTGCACGTCGTCGGGCGGTCGAAGAGCACGCCCGCGACGCTGACGCTGCCCGTGTCGTGCTTCGCGGCCTTCGACTGCATCGACGAGACCGGCGCGCAGTTCGTGCGCGCCGGCGACCAGGAGCCGATCACGTTCTCCGTCGACGTGCACGCGCTAGCTCCCGCGCGACGTCTGGGAGGACCTGCAGTCGCCGCCCTCGTCGCGCACGGCAAACCATTCCTGCCTCCACGACCAAGGCCGACGCGACCACGAGCGGCTGAGTGGCTCGGGCCCGCCGGCGTCGTCGCGCGAGTGCGTCGGCGCGCGCGCCGCGGACGACGACGAGAGCCTCGCGCGCTTCGGGCGGTCTAGTAGTAGGGTTAGTTCAATTGCCACCTCCTCACGTGGTCAGGTATCGGAGGCTCGTCGGTATCGGAGGCTCGTCGGAGACCTCTCGTGTTTAGCGATCCTTCAGTGGTAAAAACTTCAAGCCTCTCGATTTACCCACTCGCGATCTCCTCAATGCAGTCGCCCCCGACGCCGGCGTTCGCGCCGTGGACCGACGCCACGGAGCGCGAGCTCCAAGCGCTCATCCGGCGGAAGCAAAAGGCACTGCTACAGCCGGCGCCCGGCGCGCCGAACCCGTTCCGCCTCTCCATCCACGCTCACGCCCTCGACGCCGCATGGCGCGCCCAGCTCGCGCCTCGCGACCGCATCATGCCGAACGCCGCCGACTGCGACTTCACCAAGCTGACCAAGGCCGTCGAGGCGCAGGCGCGCTCGTTCTACGACGCCTACGGCGAGGCGCAGCGGACGTTCGAGCTTCCCATCCCGTGCCACCCCATCGAGCTCATCGGCCTCAGCGCCGCTACGGCGTCAACGGCCGCCGCGATCTTCGAGGAGGCGACGCTGCGCGTGAGCGGCGACCCGACGATGGCCGTGCTGCGCGCGCACGTGCGGGCTATCGTCTTCGATGAGTCGGGCCTGGGGAAGATGATGCTGGAGGCTCGCCTCGGCCTCTCGAACATCTCCGAGGAGGTCTACGCCGCCGCGCGGCAGCTGTACACCGTCGCCTTCGTCCTCGACGACATCACCATGGCGCGCCCCGAGGGCATCGTCCTCATCCCGCTCATCTTCGCGGCCATGTGGGAGGACCTGGAGTTCAACGGCGCGTGGAAGCGCTACTTCGGCCCCAAGCGCGTCGCGTTGGTCGCGGCCGCGGTCGCGTTCCCCACGAAGGACGCCGCCATGCGCATGCAGGCGGGCCTCCGCCACGTCGACGCCCCCGGGGGCGCCGGGCTCCAGACGCGGCTCGACGAGGTCCTCGCCGACGACCCGGCCGCGGACGGCGACGGCGGCGACGGCGCGACCGTCATGGAGGAGGAGGCGACGCGCGTCGACGGCTCCGGCGGCGCCATCGACGAGGAGCGGTCCCGCCAGGTGGCCGTCGACGCGCAGGCGTCGCTCGCGGGCTTCGAGGAGCGGCCCGCGGCGTCGGAGGGCGCGAAGGCGTCCGGCGGCGACGGCGGCGACGGCGCGACCGTCATGGAGGAGGAGGCGACGCGCGTCGACGGCTCCGGCGGCGCCATCGACGAGGAGCGGTCCCGCCAGGTGGCCGTCGACGCGCAGGCGTCGCTCGCGGGCTTCGAGGAGCGGCCCGCGGCGTCGGAGGGCGCGAAGGCGTCCGGCGGCGACGGCGTCACGGATTTACTGGCGACCTTCGCGGCCCACGAGCTCGGCGAGCCGCCCGCGCCCCAGGCCGTCGACGCCGCCGCCGTCGACAAGGCCGAGGCCGCCTTGGCGGTCGCGCTGGCGAATTCGAATTCGCCGCCGCCCCCAACGGTCGCGCAGCTCGCGCAGAGCTCGAACGCGGAGGCCCTGCGTGCTGTGTTGGCAAAGCTCGCGACGCGCACGGCGCGCCGGCGGCGCTCCAACCCCGTCGTGCTCCGCGAGGATGCCTACGTCGTCCTCGATGCCCTTTACGACGACGACGGGGCGATGCGGCGCAAGGCCGAGCCGCTCGAGGCCGAGGCTCGGTCCAAGAGCGACGCGGCGAAGGCGGCGTTGCGCGAGGGCTGGCGCATGGGCGTGGCCGAGGACGAGATCGATCGGCTCGACCGCGTCGTCGAGGCGTGCGAGCGCGCGGAGTCCGAGATCCGCGCGCGGCACGTTTACGACCGCGCCGCGGCCGCGTCGAAGCTTGGGAATGCGCTCGAGGTGCGGGTCTCTGCGGGAGTCATCGACCCGAGCCGAGGTGCTCAGATTTTCGTCGCGTATGGGACTCTGTCCGAGCTTGGTGCGCGATTCGCGGATGATGCCAATTTGGATCGCACCATCACTTTCACCTTTCGCGCTCCGCATGCGGACTCGGACGCCTTCTTTCCCTCCGGGCTTGCTATCGGCGCCATCGGCGTCGCTGCCTGTCCCATCCAGAGCCTGCACCGGGGCGAGACGCAGGACGACTGGCGGGGTCACAAGTTCTGCCTCGTGAAGATCGCGAAGATGACGCGGAATCGAGCCAAATGGACTCAGGACGGCTTGGAGGTCGTGAAATCATCTGCTGGAGCGAACTTTAGCCTGGTAGTCGTGGAGCCGGTTGCTCCAGGTGGCACGCCGACGGCGGCGCTACCCGCGGCGCCGGCCGAGGACCCGGTGACCGCGGCGCGCCGGACGCTCGCAGTGCTCGGCGCGGAGCTCGAGAACGCCACGACGCGCGTCCTGCGGGTCCACGGCGTGAGTAAGCGCGAGGCGATCGTGGCGCGCGTGAAGGGCCGCATCGACGCCGTCGACATCTGCGACGACGTGGAGCTGCGCGACATCCGGAGCGACCTCGTCCGCCGCGCGGAGGCGCTGCCCCTCTCGACCGAGGCCGTCGCAGAGGCCCGCGCGCGGCTGCCTCCGAAGTCGCCGCCCAAAGCGCGGCCGACCCGCGGGTCGATCCGCCGGGCGGCGGCCGCCGCCGACGAGCGCCAGCCCAGAATCGCGGCCGCGACCGGCGCGGAATCGGCGGCCGCTGCGCGCCCCGCGTCGCCGCTCCGTGCGCCGGAGAAGCGCGCCCCGCCGCGGTCGCCCGGCGGCGCCGTCGGCCACGCGGCGAAGCGGCCCAACCAGATGGTCGAACGCTTTGACGCCGACCTCGCCGCGTTGAACGCGCACACGGCCGCGCCGCCGCCGCAGCCGCGGCAGGAGCCCACGGCCGTCGAGGCCGCCGCGCCGCAGGAGCCCGTGGGCCGCGACGAGGTCGCGGTGATGGTGCACCCGGGCGACGAGCGCTTGGAACTTGCGTCCGTCCTGCAATACGACCGGAGCTTCGGAGGAGGGTACGAGGTGCAGCTCGAGCGCGACAAGGAGATCGTCGAGCTCCCGGCGAAGCGCGTGCGCCGCCTGGACCCGCACGAGGATGACGACTTCGCGAAGGGCGAGCCCGTCCTCGCGCTCTTCCCCGAGACGACGTCGTTCCGCCGCGCCGTCGTGGCCCAGAAGCCGAAGCGGGCGCGCGGCGGCGCGCCGCTCGAAATCGTCGTCACGTTCGAGGCACGATCTGAGCGTCGGCAGCGGAAGGGACCGGGGAGCACACACCGCGTGAGCTCCCGCTACGTGCTCCGCAACCACTAAGCACAAGAGGCCAGATGAGACTCATTGAGAGCACCGGCGCGGCGCCCCGCTGCGAGGTTTAAGTTGACACGGAGCCCTGTCGTTGTTGACGTCGACGTCGACTCCAAGCGAATAAAATTCCAAGCGCCGGCCGCCACCGGCCTCGTCGCGCCGCCAGTTGTTCGCCATGCGCGCAGCCGTCGCCGCCGTCCTGCTGGCCAGCGCTCATGCGCTCGTCGCACCGCCTCGCTTACGACACCAAACGCGCATCGCGACGCGCCCGAGCCCCCGGCCCTCGGCGATCGCCAACATCAACAAAAGGGATCCACGACGGCCCTCGCCGCGGAGCCGACGCCCTACGCCCTGTCCGACACGAAATCCGAGGATTTGGCGACGCTGGCGTCGCTGCCCATCATCTGGGCCCTCATGGTCGTGGTCATGCGCGTCCTGTCCGACGCGATCGAGCCCGTCTACTGCGTGCTTTGGTCCCAGGCGCTCACGCTCCCCTACTTCGCCGGCGCCGCGCTGCTCAGCCCGGCCGACGAGGACAAGTCGGGCTCCCTCGGCGCGACGCTCGCCACGGGCAGCGTCCTGGGCCTGCTCTGGGCCCTCGGCGCGCTCGTGCAAAACACGGGCTTCGAACACGGGGCCTCGGCGTCGCACGGCGCGTTCCTCACGCAGATGACGACGCTCCTCGTGCCGACCTTCTCCATGCTGCGCGGCGACGTCGTGCCGAAAAAGTTCCTCTACGCGTGCGCGCTCGCGCTGCCGGGCATCGCGTGCTTCACCTTCGACGCGGGCTCGGGCGGCGGCTCGTCGTCGCTCGACGGCGACGCGCTCTGCGCGCTGGCGGCGGTGGTCTATTCGTCCTACGATTTGTACCTGGCGTCCGTGGGCGACGACTTCGACGGGAACCGCATGAACTTCGCGCGCGCCGTCTTCGGCACCGGCGGCGCGGCCGCCGCCGCGATCGCGTTCGGGTCCTTCGGCGACGACGTCGCGGGCGCGGCGGCGGCGGCGGCGGACAACTTCCAGGCGTCGTCGCCGCGGCGATCGCGTTCCTGCCCGCGGGCCTGGCGCAGATCACCGACGTCGCCGACGTCGTGAGCGGCGTCGCGGTGCCCGCGATCGGCTTGCCGGTGCTCGCGTGCCTGAACCTGGCGTCGACGACGATCCAGCCCAAGGCCCACGCCGCCGTGCCGCCGGCCGTGTCCCAGATCTTCTACGCGCAGACGCCCATGTGGGCGTCGCTCCTCGCGTTCCTCCTCCTCCGCGAGTCGTTCTCGCCGTCGTCCCAGCTCGGCATCGCGGCCTTCACGCTGAGCCTCGCCGTCGCCGCGGCGCCCGACGACGCCCTGGCGAAGCTCCTGCCGAAGCAGGAGGCGGCCGAGTCGCCCCGGCTGGAGAAGTCGCCGATCCCGCTCTTCATCAACGCCACGCGCCTCGATTGAGCCGCGCGGCGAGCATCAGGACGCCCGCCGGCGCCGCGTCCACGCGCCGCCGCCCGGCCTCCGTGTCTATAGTAATCTGTTTTATGGGTATCCGGGCGACGCGATCACTGGAGCGCGAGCGGCTTCGACGACGTCGGCGCGTTGAGGCCCACGGACGGCTCGACCTGGGTCGTGAGACCCAGGTTCGTGATCTGCTGGTCGCTGTAGCCCTGCGCCTTGAGGTCCTTGATGCG